CCACCACAGTCCTCACTCACCCTGCCTTGCCGCCAGCCTCCATGTGGTTGGCCAGCGTGACATCGTTAGACCAGACGTCGAACTGCCACTTCCTGAGACCAAGGACACCGCAGTGTACTCGCCCACTGTGAATTCCCACGCGCATGTTCACGTTCACCCCTGTCACCTCCCGGACCAACCTGGGGATGGAGCAGGGGTAAGGCTGGAAGAGGGTTGGGGGCCAAGCACACACAGGATGAGGCTGCAGGTGCAGGGTAGGCGAAGGTGCAGGGGTCAAAGAAGCATGTCTCTACAGTCCAGCCCCAACACAGCTTGAGAATGTGCAACCTGAAGGGGACTGGACCCAGACTGCAGGTGCTGGCACCATGGCCAGGTGCAGCCAGCCAAGAGGGGCTCTTCCAGGCTTGGCCACAAGGTGGCGCGGTGCCACACTAAAACCCCGCGTCCCGCGGCTTCCCCTCCAGGAGGGCACCTTTGGCCAGCGCTACCCTCGGTCAATAAAGAGATCAGAAAAATGCAAAGCACTTTAGTGCCGACTTGAACCAAACAGAGAAGTTACAGCCATTCCAAACACTATTCGTATAATGCTCTTGTGGGTAAGACAAATGGCCTTTGGATTATCTGTTGATTGGATTTATCGACACTGTTGCATCCTCGATGTTAGCAGCATGATGGAGAAAAGTGGTTAACTGGGCTTCAAGGGCAGAGATATACCCTGCTCAGGAGAGAAGGGGTGCCTGGGCAGGTGTGGGGGTCTTGGGTGCTCCATGCCTTAGAGGACAGCTCAGTCCCCACCACGTGCACCACCTATCTGTACCCAGGGATCCCCAGAAGACGGGGTGGGCCCTCTCTGTGCACTTCCCCTTATGTGGGGAAGTGCTAGGAGGTGAGTGGCAAGGGAGCTACACATCTCCAGGTACGTGGGGCCCACAGGAACCCAGGGACTGCAGGAGAGGGTGCAGGTGCTGGGGGAGGGGATATGCATGGACCTCCTCAGCCGGCTGTGGGACCCGAAGCCTGACTTGGCCCACCAGGCAGGACGACCACTCAGACTCCCTGCCCCCACCCCATCACAAGAGGCTGACACCCAGCACAGGGAAGATTAACGTCAGCCATCATTTCTCTTGTCTTGAATCAGCTTAGTAAATACCTTTACCAGAGCTGGCCTTCCATTCACAGAGCCTTTGGACACTTGCTTGGGTTGATGTTATCTCATTCTGTCTTTCTGGCTTAACTCCAGGGTTATTTCCTTCATGAAAACTCTCTCTATCCCCTCAGTGGGCTCAACCGACCCCTCCTGGGCCTTCCATAGTAGTTGACCTTTCTCACCTTGCAGTGTCTGCCTGACAGTCCTCATATCTGAGCCCTGGGAGTCCCGGCCTCTCTCCCTCAAGGCTCTGTGCTTCTGGGGAGAGACTGACTATCTAGCCTAGGCATGCAAGGGATGCTTGGCAAATGCTACAGGGCAGAAATGAGCCAAACCAACGGATCTGGCTGCCTCCCTGACCTCTGACCTTGCCCAGGTTATTTCTAATGTCCAAAGTTACTGAGCCTGGATAAAATCTCCAACTTGATACCTTGGCTGACACGCAAGCTTGGACTGTCCATGTTTTTCAATGACCAGGGCTCCTTCCATGCCAGTGATGACTAAAAATTGGCCAAAGAGCCTTTTTGCTATTGCTCACGTGAAGGATAGATCCTCTCAAAGCAAAAACAACTGCATCTGAATCCACCTGCATCGTAATGTTACCGGGGAATTGTGTAACCCCCATGAGCCCACTCTTTCCCACCTGGGGAGAAGTGGAACCAGCGGGCTCTACCCCTAGCTGGGTGTTTATAGGAGACATGAAGCACCGAAGCGGGGCCCTCACATGGCCCAGGGCTCGGCCGTGGCTGCAGCCTCTCCTCCTCTCCTGGAGTTTGTGAAGCCCTCCCTTCCTACGCGCTTCCTCTGGGGAAAGCTTCCCAGGCTGCTGTGGGGAAAAGGAGCCCTTGGAGAAGACACAAAGTCCAGAGGTGCAAGTCAAGGCTCCAACTTGGCTGGGTGGTCCTTGGAAGACAGTTTTGACTCCTGTTTCCCTGTCCCCACAAGTCCAACCAGGCGGCCAGGGGTCAGTCAGTGACTTGGGCTGTGGGATGCACCCTGGAGGTGGACAGTTCTGGGAGTGGGCACTTACGAGATGGCCTCAATCATGTCCATGCCCATCTCCACGCAGCAGTGGGCATGGTCAGCCCTGGCTTCAGGCAGCCCCGAGACGCAATAATAACAATCCCCCAGGATCTTAATACGCAAACAGTGATTCTCCTGGAAAGCAAATTAATTTTACAAATTAAAAATAGTAGGAAAGAGAAGTGGGAGGGAAAGAAATGGGAAGCAAACAGATTCACCCCGTGCCTGGAATAACTTGCCTTTTAGGGCAGTGAGAACAGCCCCATGTCGGAACTTGGCCTGTCCCAGGACAAGCTTATCAGGAGAAGTGGGGGAGGGCAGGCTGGATGGTGGGGACGGAGGGACAGGCTGGACAGCTCTGAGAGGCACGCCAGCCTCCCCAGGCTCAGGAATTCACTTTTTTTTTTTTTTGGAGTTGCTGTCTCCCTCTGTCACCCAGACTGGAGTGCAGTGGCTGCTCCTGGCCACTGCAGCCTTGACCTGCCGGGCTCCGGTGATCCTTCCGCCTCTGCCTTCCAAGTAGCTGGAACTACAAGCATGTGCAACCACGCCCAGCTAATTTTTGATTTATTGTAGAGATGAGGTCTCGCCAAGTTGCCCAAGTGGGTCTCGAAACTGTGGGCTCAGGCAGTCCACTCACCTCGGCCTCCCAAAGCTCTGGGATTACAGGCTGAGCCACTGAGCCACTTTTAATGAGCCACTGCTGAGGCCCAAGAAATTAGCTGGCCCACTGAGGCTCAGCAGGCAAGGCAGCTTTGTCAGCTTAAGGAAGGCCAGCATTGTCGGCTTAAGGGGAGAGTGTCTCTGGTCCCTCTCCACGCCCCAGGAGTCACTCTGACTTTTGGCCTGAGAGTCTATTGTTTTCTGATTCTTCTTTTGCAAAAAGACTAAAGCTGGCAGAAATGAGCCTAAACCCAAAGCTTGCCTGACCCAGCAAGCACATGAGTGCCAAGAAACAAACATAGCTGAAGCAACTGCCCACCGCTGTTGCTGAGTGGCGGGTGCCGTGGATTGACTGGGATTGAGAAGGACTGTCACTAATCATCAACGAAGAGCTGTTTTGTCTGGCTCCAAGAAGTAGCTGGGATGCTAGGACTCAAGTTCCTGTGTGGCCTGGAGTCATGTGAACCCCATCCAGTGCCCAGAGCCAAGCACGTACCCTTCAAGTTCAGTGCTAAAACCCATCAGCAAGAGTGAAACCCACCACCTAAGGCCCCAGCACCTGCCCCGATGGCATCAGCCTCTCATCAACAACCTGGCCTGGCATCCTGTGTGGGCAGAAGGGAACATGTCCACATGTTGGTAGAAACTGCATGACGTGGCCACTTACACATAATGACTTTACAAAGGCCCAGAGCATCCCCTAAAGCCACAAAAGCTGGAAAAGTATAATAGAAGGGTACATGGGGCCTAATAAATGAAGGTGTCATTCACCACTCCCTGCCATCATGTGGCTTTCATACTTGTCCACACTTGACAAGTCCTCTTTCTGGAAATTTCCTGTAGCTGCCTGCAGGACAGTTGGGGATTCAGACTCATTCTCTTATCACTCTTGCCAACCTCAACAGGAAAGTGGCCCGATGGCACCTAATTAATCCCAAACAGAAATTCTGCTAGGGGCTTGGCAGCATAGCCTGTACACCTCACCACCCACTTCCACAGATGGGGCCATAGAGGGCTCCCTGCACTCTCCCACCTGGCCGGTGATACTGCTAAAAGCATCTCCAACTGAGTGTGTCGCCAGGGCCCACATGGGATGTGAGGACCCAACCACAGCCTGAGTGGCCCCTCTGCCTGTTACTGGCTCCCACCAGCGGGCTCTGCCCAGTAGGGCACATCCGGGCACATGACCATCCCTGGGGTTCAGCAGGTCCTAGACCTCAGCAGCCCCAGTCAAGTCACCCCCAGCCCGGGCTCAGGGCAACTCACCGCAGCCAGCTTGTCGAAGCGGGCGAAGAGCTCGTTGAGGGTCATGACCAGTTCCTGGGCGGTGCACTGGGATGCCAGGCTGGTGAAGCCCTCGATGTCAGCAAACAGGATGCTAGGGGGACAGGCAGAGGAGGAAGACCCTGCTGTAGACTGAACATCTGTGCCCCTCAAATTCATACATTAAATCTTAATACCCAAAGCGATGGTATTAGAAGACAGGCCTTTAAATGTGATCAGGTCATGAGAGTGGAGCCCTCATGAATGGGATTAGTGCCCTTACATGAAGAGAGATCCCTGCTCTCTGTGATCCAGGAGAGGCCCTCACCAGAACCTGACCATGCTGACCATCTGATCTTGGACTTCAGGGACACAAAAATGTAATAGCTCTCATGTACTGAGATGCTCTTAGTAGCCAGGTGCTCAGCTGGGAGCTTCCGACATGCCATCTCACTGAGTCCTGCAAACAGCCCTGAAACCAAGGGGTTGATGTGTCCATTTCATAGATGAGAGGGCTGAGTCTCAAAGTAGCCAGAGACAATAGCATAGCGGGACTCTCCTTCAAGGACTGCGCTCTGTCCACCATGACAAGGGACCCCTGAGGCTCCAGAACTAATGGTCTCAGTTTTAAAATTAAGAATGTAGAACTAAATATCTTTTGTCATTTTATTCCAAAAATGTGTGGCATATTAAGCATGTATTTTTTATTGAATATTGACAAATGATAATTTAATATGAGGTCCAAAGTGAGGTTAGAATACATGTATACATATGTATGAGTGATTGTATGATTGTACACATGATCATATGATTGTATGCATATGAATGATTGAACCAAGCTAATTAGCATATCCATCACCTCAAATATGTGACTAACTAAAACATTGTACTCTTTGATTAAGATTTTTTTTCTCTTCCTTTTTATCTTGCTACAAGTACATACCACCACACCTGGCTAATTTTTAAAAATTAATTACTTTTTAAATTATGTTTATTTTTGAGTCAGAGTCTCACTTTGTCACCCAGGCTGGAGTGTAGTGGCATCATCACAGCTACCATAGCCTCAACCTTCTGGGCTCAAGCTATCCTTCTGCCTCAGCCTTCCAAGTAGCTGGAACTACAGGCATGTGCCAGCATGTCCAGCTTATTTTTTAAAAAATCTATTGTAGAGATGAGGTCTCGCCAAGTTGTCCAGGCTGGTCTCAAACCCCTGGGCTCAAACAATTCTTTTGCCTCTGCCTCCCAAAGTGCTGGGATTACAGATGTGAGTCACTGTGTCTGACTTTTTTTTTTTTTGAAAGATAGTCTCTCACTCTCTGGAGTGCAGTGGCTTGATCACAGCTCACTGTGCAACCCCAAACTCCAGACCTCAGGTGATCCTCCTACCACAGCCCACCATGCCCAGCTGTCCTCATTCTAATGCTTTAACATCTGCAGGCAGACTGAGCATGGAGAAACTATGCCTCCAGGGGCTAGCCTATTCCAAGAAACAATAAACAACTTGCCTCAGAGTGTGCCTTTCACATGCAAACCAACCAATCCAGATACCAGGGCTAACCAATCATCCCCAGCCTTAACCATCCCAGGGACAGCACCGGGGAACCTGGCATAACATCTACACCCTGGAGCTCAGTGAAACTATTCAAACTAGCCAATCAGCAACCTCCTGGCCCTGCCCTCTTTCAGTGAAAACCACAATAAAAGCGCTTGTCCACGTTTGTTTCTTGCTCCATCTGCCTTCTGACTGACCCTGGTGCTCCCTGTGTGGTGTGTCCCCTCCTCTTGAGAACTGTAACAAACTTCTCAATGGCAATCCTCTCCTCATTCGTTGGCCTCACCATGCCAGAATCATCATACAGCCTACATTTTAGAACAGACACTGTTTTAAGCTCATTTGTGCATTAACTCATTCACATCTTACAACCACCCCATGAGGTTAGACTCCTCCTTTTACAGGTGGGAAATCCGAGGCACAGAACAGCTGAGTCACCTGCCAAGGTCACACAGGCAACCTGGCTCCACACTCCAGAAGGTGAACCTATACATCTTATGCCACCCATGGGCCCCGCAGACATCTTAAGTGGATAAAGGCATATTTCAACACTTTGGAAGAGGGAGATGGGAGCAGAGAGAGGTGGGAGGCCCCTGTGTGAGTGCTGTAGGTGGGTTTATGCTGGGCTGCTGTGGCCCTGGGTGGGTGTGGGACCCCACTGAGAGGGGACACTCTCAGCAGCTGCTCAGAAGCTTACACAAGGAAAACCACAAGGGAACCTGAAAATAGACTGGGCCACCAGGAAGCATGTCCCAGGGCTTAAGTCAGGCTGCCCCCCCTCTTTGGAAAGCACAGGAGAACAGTCCCCAGCCCCAGCCCAGTGCTGTTTCCCCGCATCCTGGCTCCTTCAACTACTCCGAGCCCAGCCCGGATCAGCCAAGGCAAATGTAGGAGGAACGTCATAAGGAGTGCAAGAAGCAGGAACAGGGACAAGAAACGAAACAAGTGAGGAAGGGAAGAGAAGAAAAGGCAAGGAGGAAGAGGAGCAGAAGAGAGACACTGCCCTGTATGCCATGGGACTCATCCCATGGCAGCCATGGGCAGGAGTCAGAAGATGAAAGGGAGTGTAGGTTCTCCACGAGGTTTGGTGCCTGGTGTCTGGCGTGGCTGACGAGTCCACTGCCCCCCCCCAAGAGGGAGGCCACAAGGCGCCTGCAGACTAGGGTGAGGACGCGTGCAGACCCCCAATCCTGGCCCACTTTCCACCTCCCTGTCTCTCAGGCAGCTGTTCCACTCAACCCAGGGAGAAGAAGGTCTTTCCCAGTCTCTATAAAAGCACCCATTCCAACAATTGTTCTGGAATTCTTCTTTCTCTCTCAGGAAATCAAAACCAAGGGAAGGGTCCAGATCAGTTGCACAAGAGTCAACAAACATGCTCAGCCAGAGTCCCCTTAGTTAATGTCAGATTTCCAAAGCAAAGCTGGCAGACAACACGACCAGCGGCTGGTCCACTGCAGCTCTGAGGCTACACAGCAAAAGCTTGGCTTTGGGGTTTGGTGAGATCCCCAGGGTAGGAAAAAGAAAGCTCCCAACCTGGAAGAGGCAGGACTGCTACTGGGCAAGGTAACCCACAGCACCATGAAGAGTAAAAGAGGTGAGTAAGAGGATGATGGGCCATCGCAGACACATGAGGCAGATGCCCAGGGACCCAGGGGTCCCACTGAGCTCAGACCTCCAGTGCCTGCCGGGGCTCACCCAGCCACCCTGGTGGGCCAGGCCTCTGCCCGCTCGTGCACTGAGATGGTCAGGCCTGTGGTCATCTCCTCTACAGGTGACCTTGCTGAACCTTAGCGAGCACCTTCCTCCACTGCAGCTCCCATCACACTAGATCAGTGGTCCCTGGGTGGGGCGTCTGTTAGAACTGCCCAGGAGATTTCACATGGAGAAATCCCAGAGCTCCAGCCCCAGACTCTGCCTTAATTAGTCTAAGGTAGAGCCCAGCTGTTGATTGTTTTTGTTCTGTTTTGTTTTACTTTAAGCTTTCCTGGTGACTTGAATATGCAGCCAGGGTTCAGTAAGACTGTACCAGTTTAAATGTCACTTTCTCAAGGAGGCCCCTACCTCCCTATTTGAATTTACAACAAGCTAGGCTCATACCTATAATCCCAGCACTTTGGGAGACTGAGGTGGGAGTACTGCTTGAACCCAAGAGCTCAAGACGAGTCTGAACAACAGAGTGAGACCTCATCTCTACCAAAAATCAAAAAATTAGCTGGGCGTGGTGGTGTGCACCTATAGTCCCAGCTACTCAGGAGGCTGAGGCAGAAGAATTGCTTGTCCCAGGAGGTCGAGGCTTCAGTGAACCATAATGATGGTGGCGACAGAGTGAGACCCCAACTTTAAAAAATCTACAACTCCTCCCATATGTCTCTCTCCTTTCCCTGCCAGTTTTCTTCATTGCACATTTCACCACTTAATATGCTATGTCTCATTGTTATTATTTATTGTTATGCTCCTTCTTTCTCCCCTCATTATAACGTAGACTGAGGAAAAGTTTTATCTATATTCGTGACTATGTCCCCAGGCCTGTATAATCTGCAACTGAATGGCTGCCTCACAGTTCTGGAGGCAGGATGTCTGAAAGCAAGATGTCGGCAGAGCCATCCTCCCTGAGACTCTGAGTAGAACCCTTGCTTGCCTCCTTCTAGCTTCTGGTGGCAGCCTGTAAGACTTGACATGCCTTGGCTCACATCTGCACCACTCCAGTCTCTGCCTCTGTCCTCCCCTGGCGTTCTCCCTGCGTGTCTGTGTTGTCACTTGCTGTTCTCTTATTAGGACACCACTCACATCAGATGAATAGCCCACCCTACTCCAGAACCTCCTTGTCTTCACTTAATTCATCTACAAAGACCCTGTTCCAAATACAGTCACATTCACAGGTACCAGGGGTTCCATGTGTCTTCTAGAGGGACTGGGCACAGTGGCTCACACCTGTAATCCCAGCACATTGGGAGGCCAAGAAAGGAGGATCACTTGAGCCCAGGAGTTCAGGGCCAGCCTGGGCAACATAGTGAGACCTCATCTCTATGAAAAATTAAAAAAAAAAAAAAAGAAAGAAAAGAAAAAGCCCAGCTAGTTGGGAGACTGAGGTGGAAGGATCACCTGAGCTCAGGAAGTCAGGCTGCAGTGAAAAATCATATCTTCTAGGGGGATACAATCCAACACATGATAGTGCCTGATACTTATTGGTTGAAAGGAAGAGAATTTTTATGGTTTAAAAGCCAAGTGAGAGGCAGGAGTAGTAACTTCAAATCGTGAGCTCTTCCTTCCGCCCCACGGACTCTCAAGCAATGCTCACGAACGGAACTAGTAGTTGAATGGTTACCCGGGACGTGGGTGGCTTCCTGGCTCTATGCCAGGAGACATGGGAAGCAACACTGGTGTGTGAGGAGCCTCTGGGTGCCTTAGAAAACCCAAGCCTCCCTCCAATCTCCTGGGAATCTACCCTTCCTGGCTCCGCCTGAGGCTTTCACCTGATGCTGAGGTCGCCAGCCCAAAGCCAGGAGGAGGTCACTCAAAGCAAGGCTTCTAAGTCGGAGTGAGCAGAAGCTCAGACAAGGTCT